CCCTTCCCGTGGCGGCCGGTGGTCCCACGTAAGTCGCGTCGTTGCAGTTTTTTTTATTTATAGAACTAGGCCCGCATAGTGTTGAGACTCACCCCCAACGTTCTTTTATTTTTGTGGGCATGGTCTGGAGCATGCCGAAAATGCAGCCTCGAAGTCCTGCGACAAATGGGAGTGTCGGAAGCACCAGCATACTCTTCATCCCGCTGGATTTTGCCCTCCGCTATCCTAGAGCTAGTTGTAGCACTGGTGTAGCGCTCCGCACCGTTCGTGCCGCCTCCGATGGGTATGATCTCGTCCACCGCCGTTCCCGCGAGAGATTGGCTCAACGTGCCTACTACCCGAAAGAGGTGCATTGTGAAGGTGTGAGGCAGCCTCTGCAGCGCGCAAATGCGACTGCAGGGTTGCCTCATGCCGATAAGCCCTCACCTGGCGCCACTACGCGGAAAATATACCCCTTGGACAGGTTCGACCGATAGGCTGGGCCGCGGAGATCTACTCCGTAACCACGTGGGATGCAAAGTGCGCGGGCATTCCACAACTGCGACTACCTCCACCGCGTGGCTCGAACGCGTCAAAGTCTTCCCCCAAATGCAAACCAAATTTAGCCCCCTGGATTGCGGCAGACGTGTGAACAACATCTCTAGTAGGCACGATACGCTCCGTGGTCGTAGGAGCAAGTTGCGTTGAATTCGTCAACTTGCTGCCGCCTCGCAAGCACCCGACCATGCACTCAAGCCGGGCACGGGCCGCACCTTGTCCACGATAGGGTTGACACGGAGCAACAGTTCCCATGCGCGACCCCTCCGCGCACGATAGATCATCGGGGGTAAAAACCCGGACCAAATCCAGCGTTAACCCCGCTCCTCGCGGCGTAGCACGAAACAATCTTGTAGAGAGGGCTGCAAAGATCGTGGAATTGCGGTCCGGTTGGGCCGTAGGTAGTACCACCGCGGCCGGCGGAGCTGGCGAACGACAGCATTGACCCCGTTGTAGCTCCATCACTTGTGCAAACCTTTCAAGTTGGTAACGATAGCTTCTGAAGGCTTTTCTTGTGAAGATCCAGCGTTTGTGATTTGCGGCTTGATAAGGTGAAGATGGGTGGCAGTCGCTTGGATTTGATGTGTTCGTAGTTACACGGAGCTCCAGCCTATCCGACCCATGCGCCCCCCGTCGAAGAACTGGCCGTGTGTTTGGCTTGATCCTAGACTCCACACAACCCAAGGCAGCTTATGAGCAAAAATGAATATGTTCCACACCCCATTCTCAGGGGAAGTCAGTACCAGTACACCATTGGTTAAGCCAAGGTGCTACTCCGACCCTAACCCCATGGGGTACTTCAATGTAGGCTATCGTCCAACGTCTGCGCCACCTACTGTACCTCCCGCCAAACTCCAACCCCCCCCTGCACCAATGATCCACGGTACCTCCCTTCAGGTACATCGATACTTGGAACTCCTGAGGTACCTTCGCATACCGATGTCCAAAGGAGTGAAAAGCGATACCAGAAGAAGTACGGATGCTGGAGGGGTGAAGGGGTCGTTACGTCGACAGAGGAGGAACTCTTCATCAGCCGGTCGGAGCGTGTCCACGCTTCAGACGTTCAAGGTAAGGTGGGAGGTTTCCCTTGGGGTACTAATAGTCGTGCATGCCGTAGCCGTTAGACCATTGACCTCGCACCCCTACAAAGCCGGGACGGAGCACGCCGGGTTCTCCCTGGATCAGGTTCTCACATCACCAAGCGCGAAGGGCAGTGAGAAATTTGGCGGTTCGCATGGAGGGTGCGCTGCATCCTGCTAGGGGTGTTCGGTGTCTTTTTGCTTACTTCCTTGCATGCGAATGACGGCTGCGAATGACTTGAGCTCTTTTCTGGTGTTTTCAACCCCAGAGACAGTTATACGCGCTGTGTAAGACCCCGATTTATGGGAACAAAATCTTGTCGATAAATCTTGATCTTGGCCAAGATCTGCCAGTTTCACGATTTATGGGAGCGAAATCTTCCGATATATCTTGGCTAAGATTTCTCGAGGCCCGAAATCTGCCCTTTCGAACAAATCTTGACCCAAGATCTGTCAAAACGAGCCTTCCGACAAATCTTGAGGCGGCGTAACAAATCTTGCCTCAGTGCGGCGCGATCACCGAAGGTCAGTCAACCTAATCGTCCATAACGCCATGAAATCTGCACGTGGCACACTCGCAAGGGTCTCTAACGCACCCTGGCGTCACTGTGTCGGCGCCACGGGCGCCGACAGCGAACGACAACAACCAAGGCGCGCGAAAAAAATGCGTATTTGCCCTGGCTCGTTCCACGTGCGTCATCACCAGTCTGTGGAGCGACCGTTCAAAGAGTACTTTATTTTGAAGTAGAAAAATAGAGCAGGAGGAACGTTTTGCCAACACTGCTCTGTCGTGTGCGACGCTTCTATCTCTTCATCGAATCACCCCACACCCAACCCGTTTGCACCCGAGCCAAATCCGTGCGTGCAGATGACAGCGCCGGAGGTTTGACCTCGGTACGCCTGCTACATCGTGAGATACGTTCATGGGTGTCATCGGCTTCGGGTTGATGCACTTTCTTGTCAGTTGGACAGCAATGGAACAGTTTTGTTTCTCCGCTTGACATGAGCTCGTGGGAAACGGATTCAATTTTGCACCCCAGGTAGGCGCCCATCGCTAGTATCCACCCACAGTGTTGAGGCAATACAGCTGGGGGAGGGATACCCCTTCTACAACTGCGTCATGCTCACTTTTCGCCACACCTTGGCATTTCCTGTGGACCAAGTGGCCGTTGTGCCTTTTTCAACTCCAAGCAGAAGAGAGGAACAACACGCCGCTTTTTCAACATTCAAGATATTTCCCCCATAAATCGCGATACTGCAAATCTTCGCGGAGATATATTGTAAGCAAATCTTGGGTCAAAATCCCGAGATATAATTGCAAGATTATGTTTCCATAAAGAAGGGTCTAACTGCATCGAGAGTGCTTGACCAATTTACCACCACGTGGTGCGATCATCCCCTTTGCCCGGAGTGAAGATTCTCGACCCCGCACAACATAACCTACTCGACAACCATTCATGGTTACCCCAAAAAAAAAACAGAGGGAAAATAAAAAGCGGTAACCTTGCTGTCGAACTCATGAAACGACAGGTGTGTTTTACAACGTCGTTGCCAAGTGACGACAACCCAACCCCGAAAACTGTTGTGCAGGGGGGGTGTCCTCATAGTCGTGCATGCCGTAGTCGTTAGCCCATTGACCTCGCATCCCCACAAAGCCGGGACGGAGCACGCCTGGTTCCCACCGGACCAGGCTCTCACATCACCAAGCGCGAAGCGCCGTGAGGTATTCGGCGGGTCGCATGGAGGGTGCGCTGTATCCTGCTAAGGCTGTCCGGCATCTTGTGCTTATTTCTTTGCAACGGGTGACAGCTGCGAATGACTGAATTTAGTGTCTGGTGCTTCCACTTTCAGAGACAGCTATAAGCACTGTGTAACTGTCTCAACCGTGCTTGACCAATTTAACACAACGTGATACGATCATCCCCTTTGCGCGGAGCGAGCGGGCGGGGGGGTGTACCCATAGTCGTGCATGCCGTAGTCGTTAGACCATTGACCTCGCATCCCTGCAACGCCGGGACGGAGCACGCCTGGTTCTCACCGGACCAGGCTCTCACATCACCAAGCGCGAAGCGCCGTGTGGTATTCGGCGAGTCTCTTGAAGGGTGCACTGCATCCTGCTAAAAGGGTGTTCGGCATCTTGAGCTTACTTCCTTGCGTACGGATGACTTACTTCCTTGCGTACGGATGACAGCTGCGTGTGACTTAATTTATTTTCTGGTGCTTTCACTTCCATAGACAGCTATACGCACTGTGTAACTGCGTCGAGGGTGCTTGACCAATTTAACACAACGTGGTGCGATTACCCCCTTTGCGCGGAGTGAGGGTTCTCGACCCCGCACAACACAATCTACTCGACCACCATTCATGGTTACCGCAAAAAAAAAAAGCCAAGGGAAAAAAAAAGGCAGTAACCTGGTTGCCGAGGTTACGAAGTGATCTTGTTTTACCACATCGCTGCCAAGCGAAGAAAACCCAACCCCGATGGCAAACACCGGGGGGGGCGGCTTGTTTTACAACGGCGGGGGGGGGAGGGGGGTTCCCTTTGGGAGGGGTTAAATTCAACGTACCACCTACAGAACGACTCATTCTTTCTGTTCAAAACTCCTGGTCCCGCTCTCCCGATATCGCCACGAACACTACACTGTGAGTACAAACAGCTATAAACATGGTAACTGAGTGGTCCCAATCGCTATCACAGGGGGGGTCTGACGATTGGAAAGCCGCTTCCCCAATGTTGTTGGCGCTGAACAATCAATAGGACAACAACCGCAGAATTTGAGGCAGAAACGAGTTCTTATTTCATAGGATTTGACTCTTCCATTAGAGGGTGTGGCTTTTACATCTTACTTCTCGTATCCGAGGTCTCCAGCATCTGGTCGGCCTCCCAATGTAGCAACGTTGTCCCCACAACCATGATCTTGCTGGTGATGCAGCTTGGAAGCTTGGGACGGGGTCGGTCCAAAGGGCGGCCAGGGCGCGGTGTCGTGATTGCTGGGATCAAAACGTCGCTGTTGCTGGGATCGCTAGCTTCTTGGTGGTTGGTCTCGTGCAAAAGCAAGCAATCTTTCGCCCGAAGTGGCAAGAGGGGCCACCGAAAAGAACACTTCGCTTCGGGAGAGAGGAGGGCTTACGTTTTGCGCGCCATGAGCGTGACGCCCCGTCCCCGACCCAAGCCTCATCGCAATTTCTTTCTACCCCATGCCCCCCGCGCCTGACGTGCTCCGTGTCGTATGCATGCACCTTCCCGCTTGGTTTCACCACCATCACCATCGTGTCTAGAGCGGAGCATCAGTGCTTTCGAACAATAGCTCAAGAAGTGCGGGGTACCGTTTCCAGAGGTTCGAGGGCGAGGGAGAAGAAGACGAATCGCGGTTTGAAAGCGCCATGTTGCTAGGTTTTGAGGCCGCCGAGTTCCTGTGCTTGAAGATGCGAAGCTGCATACCTATCGAGGTGTGTAAATTTCGTGTGTTTCCGCAATCTGCGGCCGCACAAACCAACTGGCCAATGACAAGACGCCAGCCTATAGGCTAGACGAACAAGAAGAACTGCTTGCTACCCTAACAAAATACCCGCAGAATCCCCAGTAAGGGGGTTGCGTAGGAGGTTCGACAACGAACGAACAAGGTCTAGCCGCAAGGTGTGTGTTCCGCTGATTGTTGTCGACAGTCTTAACCGGCTGGCAAATGCTAATACATCAATCTTACTGCGAGATCAACCGCAAAAAAAAAGTGTCGAGTCCGCGGGGTCATCCGACAGGAGGACCGGGGAGATTTAAGTACATGTAGCTGTGTGTGTGAGTTTTCAGCCACCAACTGCGCGCCAACTGGCCATCGAAAGAATGTCAACCTCAGCGACCGCGCGTGTGTGTGTCCGTTTAAATAAATCAATCTCCCGACATCAACGAATAGACCCCAGTTTGTGGTGTACTGCTTCTTTGATAACTGTAGGCTGTGCTCTGACGGGCGAGATGACGTCGGGCAGTATTTTGGAGATTGAGTACCCCGCTTGTTTCCGTTTGTTTTGGGGGGCGACGTAATTTTTCCATAAATGGGTAGATGGAGGTCCAAACCAACGATTACCGCCCCCACAAAGCAAACGGCTACAGTAGGGTCACCATACGAGGCCATGATGGATTGGTCTGTTTGGCCTGGGCTCGCCTTTGGCTGTTTCAATTCGGTGGCCCAACGGGCGCCAATGCTGCAATGTGTTCACGACGGTCCCCGAAATCCCCGGTGTTGACGTTAACCCGCAGTCCTTTGGTAGTTATGCATGCAAGAGCTTTATGGAGCGAAAGAAACACTGCAGCGTTTTGTAGGGAGCAACAAGCAGCTACTAGGTCGCCGCTCGCTCTCTTCACTTCTGTCTCCGCTTGTCGTTCGAATCAGGACCTCGAGGGGGAATTAATCGTGTGAAGCACTCATTCTTTTTTTATACCGGGTGCTTATCGTCTGGACCCTTAAGGATCGCGACTATGGTTCGACGATCTTCAAGAAGTCTTTTGTCGGAAGCCAGGCGGTGGATTGGATGTGCGATACCGGTATTGCTGCGTCCAGAAATGAGGCGGTGGCCATCGGCCAACGCCTAGTGGAATTTGGGCTGGTCGACCACGTTAACTCGATCTTCAGGTATGATGCGGTGGTTGCTTTGTCGGTGACGATGATGATGATCTCGTCCATAAGAATTTAAGAAGTTGTGGTTAATCTCCAGTTCTACAGGACATACGTTCGCCATTATATTCCCAGGAAAATGTTGATCCTACCATGTAACAGGAACCCAATGCCTCCACGGTTCTGCACAGGCAGCACAAGTGAACAAAACCATCGGTGACATAACGATTTTTGTCGGGGATGCTACGCTTGATGTATCTCGTTGACATACGTGAAAATATATAGAGATACACGTGCGCGCTATCATCTGCAGTCGACATTGGTTCTTGTGCTGTTCCTGTAGTTCTGGCCGTTTAATTTTCATTGGTCCACCCACCCGCAGAACGTTCCCGCTCACGTGCCCGATTTTGGAAGCCGTTGTTGCAGAGCGTAAGATGTGCCACCTATGCCCATTGCCAGGCCAGCAGAGAATGTCCAAGAAGCAACCATGCTCGACATTCCGTTATCACATCGCGTCAGTCTAGCCGGGAATACGCATCGATCCGGTCGTCACTTTGCACCATGGGTTGCCAATGAGCCAACACTGCACACACCGATGAAACCTCTCCACTTGGCTATTCCAACATGAATGCTGGCGTCTGTGCCTATTTGTCGCTGAGGGGGTAAAATCGCCTTAATACATCCTTGTTGTCGTTTCGCCGTTTGACGGTTTTGGCCATGGAATTGATCGCAAGACGTCAAGGGTTCGTACCGTTTTAAGAACGTGTATTGTGCTTCTCCAACGGTCGATCGATGGCACCTATGGACCTGCGGGAACATACATCGTTTTCACTCGATCTCTACTCGATCCGTCTGAGATGATCGCTCGGCACGAACGACTCTTCGAAAGAGCGCATATTTTGAACTAGATCACTCGTTCTCGCGCCTTCACGTACCTACGACCTGTTGGTATCGTTTCTGCCAACGTTTCGTTCTGAAATCCGTATGCACACATGGTCGACCGGTTTGTCTCTCTTTTCGAGATTCGTGAAGTGTCGGAATCAACTCTCTGGGCTTTTCAAGGTAGGATTGCACAACCACGGTAGTAATGCACCTCGTGCATTATTTGGTGACGTGTCTCCATCATCATATTTGACCCGTGCGACAGGTTCATGGACGAACTCCTATTTTACGAGTTTCGAACCAAGGGAGCTAACTGGGCAAAGGCCACGGAGATGGATATCGACGCCGCGAAGGCGTTAGCGATTCGGATGAATATGGAGATAGAGGCGAGTGTAGTCATGACGGCATCCGTCATAGATGTGCACCATTCCACCGACGTTCTGCGGATGCCGTGTCGGTTTGTTTCTCGAGCTGTCCTCGCGCCAGAACCTCTGTACAGGGCGTGCCTGAAGACTAACAACCCGAGAGCTTGGAAGGAGATGGGACACATGCGTCTTGACTACCCATAACTAGACGTTGTTGTACCTTGAGGATAGCATGGTCTGATTCGGCTTTGGAGAAATGTGGAATAAGATTAGACTTAACAAACCCGGGGGGTCTCGTGATTCCAGAGGGTGTTTGCATCGATCTTTGAACCTTTTCGTCATTGCCCTTATGTTGGAGCTCATAGTTGCATCGACAACGGGAGACCTTACATTAATGTAGGTGACATGAGCCAAAGTTATCATGCACGGCAAGCCTATCTGGACCAGTCTCTAGACAATGGTAACGTTGACGTGGGTGGTGGCTTTGATTCGTCAATACAAAATCGCGGGTAGTGTGTTCTTTGGACCGCTCTCTCGCAATCTACAAAAAAAGGCTGAATGTTTCCTACGCCCGCCCATCGTGGTGCCCCTCCGCACGCATGTGGACCCTGCACGGCCCTTTCGACCGCCGCTTTCAGATGAAAGAGGTACAAGAACACGATGGAGAGGTCCACAAGGCTTGCTTCTCTGGCGACATGCTAACCGAGTGGATGATCAATGTAAGGACAACGAACGTGTGGCGATCTAAGGTCGACGGCCATTGAACGGCAAGATGCGTGTCGGAATGCAACATCTCCAAGTCTCTCTTCGGACGCCTCAACATAAAATGGTTGAATGAACTGCAAACGCCGCGTTCCCACTTGCCGCTCGTGACTCAGATTCTGATTTTCGTTGTTGTGATGATCTGGAATATCTGGAAGCATTTGTATTTATTTCTGGCTAGAATTTGTTTCCTACCTGTGGCACTGCAATGATCACTACAGCAGTGCTTGGCTACCGCATCCGCTCCTCTGTTGGCAGTTGCTGGCAATTGCTGTGATGGTATTGGTGCCGTTGGTAGAATTAGTGTCGGTGTCGGTCTTGTGCTTTCATACGTTTGTCGCTATTGTGTTTAGGTGGATTTGTGTGTTGCTGTCAATGTTGCTGTTGTTGCCGCTTTGTTGCTGTCGTTGTCGTAGTTGTTGTTGTTGTTGAAGATGATGAAAATTTTGTCAATTTTTCTTGCTCATGTTGATGTCAGTTGGATGTGGCGTTGATGTTCTATCTGTACGAGATGTTCCCGTGATCACAAGCTGATACTAGAAATATGCAAGGGAGGAACCAAACTACTACAAAACAAATCGCCTGTGCATCGAGAAGCCTGACGGCGTTTCGTTCTTTTCGGACCTTCTTTTGGCGCCTGAACAGCCGTTACTGTCGTCTCGTCATTTTGTGGTGTGGTGTGCTTGTTGGTGGTGGCCAGGAATACGTCGCAACATGCGTCAACGAGGCCGTGGCGATAGCCGACAAGCTCATGACACTCTCCATCATCGAGTCCACGTCCAGCACGAACAAAGAGAGGTTCAAGCCTTCCTGCGACAGCTTCTACGTCCTCAAGGTAAAAACGAGTCACCTTGCCGGTGTTGCTTAGGTACAAGGTAGGGTTGTTCTGTGTTCGTTTGCCAGCAGGCTGGTGACTGAGATGGCGATGTTCAGTATGATATTGCACCGACGTCGTCTGTCGTGCTTGCGTTACAGGCCTTAGCCTTGTCGGCTCTCCCACCGACACACATTTTTGGGCTGCTGAAGCAGCTTTGTCTCGCCATCCTACAGGTCGCCTGCGCGTGCGCGGCCGAAGTTAGACAGGTAGGTGAGTGGGTAGCGGCCCTTGCTGTAAGCACTACAGCCGTTTGTTGCAACTGAACAATTTCCAAAGACAACCGATATTAAATGTGAAGGCACGCTTCATTTCTGAATTCCGCTCACTGGCGACTCCCGGAAGTAGTTTTATGTCTCCACTCCTGTTTCCGGGGACTATCCCATTTTGCCCAGAATGCTTGGTAGGTGGTGTAAGATCCCGAATGGGTAGGAACCCGCCACTGTGAACACATCGTTGCATGTCTTGTGTTGCGTGTTTTGGCGCAGTTGGTCGTAATAGTAGTCGAAGACCTCCAATGGGTGGATTCCGGCACATTGGACATGATCCTGGCCTTTCTACAAAAGGCCGAGCAGGAGGGGCCTTGGGACGGGGGGTGCATGTTTCTCCTCTCCACGCGACCTGCCTCCACCTTCCCTGCGCACTTGAGCAGCACCCGCGACAAGATTGTCGCCGAAAGGTTTGTCCGGTACCGTACCAACTCTGCCGACGACTATGTCCGTTGTCCCGTTGTGGCCGTGCATCTTTCTCTTTTGATTGCTTAAAAAATCGAGCGTCGGCCATCAGCAACTACAAGGAAAAGCAGACTATGCACTTGAATTATCCACTCACTTCCATCTGCTAGGCATCGCTTTCATGGGTGCTTGCTGAGTCCTCAACCTGAAGGCCCTGTACCCAGGACCCTTTTCAAGAATTGTTCTACTTTTGTTCGCAACATCTGGGACAGTGGCAAGGAGGCGGGTGAAACTATGCAATGCGAGCCTTATTTTTGTTCTCTCTTCATGTATCCATACGAGATCTCCGACTCGAGTTAGGAGTGGGGGCGGTTGAACGGCGGGACCGGGGGGGATGAACATGCTCGCATGCTCGCCTCAGGACAAAGACATGGTCGTTCCTTCATCTGAACGCATCGGAGTGAAAAAAAGCAACCGCCGGTCTCACAAGCACGTCCAGAACATGACTACCGTAAGAGGCAGGGATAGCATCCCCCAGACTGGCTTTCAATACTCGATTGCTCCATATCCACGGGGGTGCGGAAAGAGCCCGACACGTCGACGGCAAGCCCTCAATGAGATGTTTCCACTACCGCCCTTGTTGGCGCTTGCACAAAGCTTGGTTGTGGAGTAGTAAAACTTGGTTATGGAGTAGTAGAGCTTTGAAAATCGATCTAGGGGGGGTGTGCCATCTCTCCGCCTCGTACGGCAGTCAGGTTAAAGAGCATGCGTGCGGGCACTATCGACGGCGAATGGATGCACTGGTGTCGCCATGGACCCTTGCATCCTAGGGTAGTCTGGGACACAGCGCGTCGCGGGTGCAGTTGTAGAACCACCGTACGTCTCTCTAGAGTGATATTTAACTGGCAACACCCGCCTCACGCCTTCCCACCGTCACGCCGAGATCCTGTCACCCCCATAGGCTATCCTCAGCCTGAACTGATCAACGATTTGGGGGGCGTACACCTTGCTGTACGGTGATGTCGATGCCGCAGCGATCTAATCCTTGAAGAAATGCTGCTGCTGATTATGCTGGGGACCTGATGCCGGTGTGATACTAACGCGGATGCGATGTGCCTTGCTGCTGCCAGAATTGTGACGGTGATTGAGCTCGGTGCCCTATCGGAGGAGGAGGCGGAAGGGGTGACGTGTCGGCTGCTCGAGGTACCGATGTCGTTGTCGTGATCGTTGCCGTTGCCGTCACCCTCACTTTCGACTACAAGCATGGAGATATGAGGTCATGAAACCCGCTGCATTTCATATCGTATGATATGGATCCGGAGCATGAGAGTTGACTATCAAGAAATCTCGACGGCAGGCCGCAGGACGCGGAGTGGTCAACAAACCGAAAAAGTGAACCTACAACGTAGACAAGGGATGTCTCTCGGGCGGGCCATGAGAGACAGTGGCAGAGCACCGCTGAAACGCTTCCCCATGCCTCGCCCTTTGTCTTGTGCCTTGAACCAACAATGAAAAAAGGTGGACGAGCTTGATTTTGCGCTTCGCAAGCTTGTGCTGACCTCGTGTTCCGGTAGTCCGCTCTTCATCACCGAGCTGTGCCAGTCTCTTTGCAGCACCCAGGGGATACAGAAAGTTTCTACATCCTCCGGCAAGGTATGTACGCTTGGGCTTGTCGTGATGCTTGTCCGTGGCGTGCCACGTGTGTTTGTATCATAGCCTGATGGATCGAACCGCGATATTTCTGGTACACCCCCCATGGGAAAGACATGGTGTTCTCTCAGTGAAAATCTGCCCACAGTCTCCTCAAACACAGGAAATACATGCATGCCAGCTCGTTGGGAAACCTTGGTGATTGTTGGTGCAGTATGTTCGCTCAAGTAGCATGACATTCTAGTCAGGTGAGGCAGTTTGTTCGTTAGGCGGCGGTAGTCAACAACGCTATCTGACCCTTTGTTTTCTCGTATGTTCTTCTTCACACCCTGTTGCCACGCCCCACAAACCTTTACAGTCGCGAGCTGCTTTGAAAACGACGGGCAAGGACGGTGGTCTAGCAACCGGGCCCAGGAGCGTGTCGGAGATTGTGGCCGCGCGCATCGACACCCTGGAGTCTACGGCATCCCTCGTGCTAAAGGTACTGCGAGCATTCTTTGCTTAAAATAGTTTTTGTTTTACCTGGGATTAAAACTTTGCTATACCGTTGCAGTTAGTACGCATTTTGTCCCCTGTGGACGTTTCTCGATTGTCGGCTATGACATCACGGGATTGTTTCTGCCGCGTCATAACACGGTTTCGATGTCGCGATATCCAGTTGTTTTTCAACACAGAACTTGAAGAGCTCTAGTCTCTTCCCAAATTAAAACGGTAGTAGCACACACTGGGTTGCCAATCAGCGGTACTTTGTACGCATGGCAAGCCCATAATGCTTGATTGCTGTCCAAGTTCTGGTTGCCTGGAAGTGACAGTCGGCCCCTAGCGGTTTCGCGGATTTCGAGAGGAAAACGCAAGAACACTTGTTGAGCCTGGCCTGAAAACCGAATCGAGATGCGACGCCAATATAACCTCCGGCCCCGGCAATGCACCGACCCTCCTGGTCTTGTCGTGGTTGGAATACAAGAATCCAAGGCAACTCACCACGGCTACGTTTGACAATCGAACAATTGTAGGCGTTCCTCCTCAATTCTTCTGATCTGTTTTTCACGCGGCTTCCGTTCCGTTTCATTCTCGGGTTTGGATACACTTTGTCCGTCTCTCTCTCTCTCTCTCTCTCTCTCTCGTTGACACCGTCTCTCCCTGTCTCTCTCTGTTCTTCTTATTCTTCTTGTTCTTCTCTTCCTTGTTCTTCTTCTGCGGGTACAACGTGCGGCACAAGGTGGCGGCCGTGATAGGGGAGAAATTCGCCTTCAACGTCCTGCACGCTGTATTTCCCGTCGACGTCGACGAGGCGACCTTGGCGACTCACTTAAATTCCCTGGTCTCCAAGAACTTCATCACCGTAGAGAATCCCTCCGCGATGATGCAAGGCACGCTGTGCTTCAAGTTTAACCACTCTTTGGTACGTCCTATACGAGGCTACATAGATCTAACATTCGGGCTCAACGGAACGAACGGGGACGTTGAACAGGGGAAAGCGATTGGGCAGGGGCGTGGTATTGGTTTTCTGTGGTATCTGTTCGTGACGATTGGTGCCGTGGTTGTACGAGCTGAAGTTTATTTTTCCTTGTAATTTTTGAAGAAGTCTTGATGCAGGACAGGCGTGTTTCTCGATTGTGATGCCCTGGATACTAATTTTGTTTGCTGCATTGAATATTAGATATCGTGAGGAGAACGATTGTTTGCCTTTTCATTTTGCACCAGCGTGTTCTACCTCCCTCGCCCCCTCCCGTCGACAAAACAAGCTCCCTCTTCTCCACATGCACCCTCCCAGATGTCTGCCGCGGCTTACGGCATGCTCCTACATAGCAACCGCTGGAAGCTGCACTACCGAGCGGCGGTAGTCTTGACGGAGCAGGGCGACCAGTCCTACATGGTCTTGGCGCGCCACTGGCTTCAGGTGTCACGGTGTTGTCTGTGATTGCAGCTTGTTCCGGGCTCTTGTGTTGTGTTCTTCGGTGAACCGAGAGCACCTGGTCTGCTGCATACACACTCATATACCAATGGGTTCGACTACATACCACAACGGCGGACGCCGCCATACTGTGGAGTACTTCGAAGTACTTCGTAGTTTCGTCTTCAACGTTGAGCTACAATACCCCCTACTCACGCTGGGTTGTCGTCCCATTTGCTCTGGACGCTTTGCTGGGCGCTCCTGCCAGGTCACACATAGGCGCAAGCTCACACGGGAAACTATTCGTCTTCTTCTACTTTGTTTTTTGTGCTTGCCTTAAACCTTATCTCGAGAAGAATGCAACCGGCCGTGAAGTTGAATATTGGGCACACGCGAGAAAACTGTTTCCCACGTTGTTTGGACATAGTGTAAACAAGTTTTTTTTTGTGTGAAAACACCCACCTGGTACGCAATGACGAAAAGAGGAAAGCACATTGGTGAGCTGCGGTCCGTAATCTGTTGCGACGATCTGAACCGTTCTTCCTTGGCACATTGCAGCGATCACCGCCTCTTTATTGTGTATCCCGTCATGTTTCACAACCCGCTGATCCACGACCGTGGTGACTTCGGGGCATGTGGCTCTTGCTGGCTTTTTTTTTGCGTGGCGACCTTGTTGCCTTTGCGGCCGTACCGTCCCTATCACTGCTGGATATCGCCGCGATGAAACATATCCTCCCCCCCTGTGATCGATCGACAAGAAGCCTCGCGCGACCCACGTGTAAGTCGTTTGTTGCCATTGTGCATCGTCCAATAATTGTAAATAGGAGGATCGGCTATACCTTGTTGCAGAATGAACGATCGGAAACAACACCGGATGGACACACTGATGGCCGGAATTTGGCACATGTGCCAAAGCATAACAATACCGACGAACACGGAGCGTGCATTATACCGTCGTTTCTATATCAAACTGTTCCCCAAACCCGGCAGGTAGCGTTGGGTAACCCGAGCGCCGCCGAGATCGCTGACCTTGGAGGTCATGAGGTCTACCGTGAGCACATGCACATGGTGAGACAACGGTTGATATTGACAATGTTGAAGTTATTGGAGTTGCTGTGGTAGGTGTTGCTCTTGCCATGAAATCCTACTATGGCTCGGATGGGCACCACGACTCCTGTCTTTGTTTTTGGACCACCTCATGGCGTAATTCTGTCGCCGTGCTTTACTACCAGTCATCTGACCGAAGGAAGTTGTCGACTCCTCAGCTCAGTCGTGATACCAAGCACGTTGCATGCTTTAAGATCGAGAGAGCTGACATTGTCTCTTGGATCGTTGCATTTTCTTGCAAACAAGTTTAAACGTGTTCCGATTGTAGACCGCTCGCCCGAAGGGTGTGTCATATCAGTTGCTGAAACGAGTCGTTCGACTCCGCCAACAACAGAAAGCACAACAAGGTTCTCATTCTTCGCGTGTGCGCGTTTCTTTCGCAGCGAGCAGATCGCCCTTCTCAGCAATCATGCTACTGGACCTTTTGGGCTAATGGTTGCATACTGGTACTCACTGAGTCAACCATTGTTCCTTCCCTGCTTGCAAATGATGAGCCTTCGCTACTTGTGTTTCACGTGGCGAACGCCCAGACAATTGAACTGGTATCAAAAGCAATCGGCGAGTTGATGGGCATGGGTCAGTTCATCGACGCGTCCGTGTACTTCAACGACGGCCTAGAGGTGCTCAAGCGGATGGCGGACACGCCAAGGCGAAAGTGCCTCGAGATAGGTATGTAACCGCGGCACTACCTTTGGTCGTTATGTAGACTATGCCTTTGTGGAACGGCCCCTTCGTCCCTCCGTTGGCTGCTATTACATTGATAGACCTTGAAAGTAGGACGTTACTCCGCCCCACTGTTTGTCGAAGAATATGGTAAAACGCTGTTGTATTAGGCGTTGGTACCTGCATATGTTTCTGTTGTCATGTGGACAAGATTTGATCATTTTGGGCCTTGGCCAAGGCGACGTTTCGGTACTTATACTCGTACACAGCTTCTATTCGCCTCTCATCAAGTTGGCGTTGCTTTTTTCACTTCTCTAGTGGTCATCTGACCATGTTTGGCGAAGAATGCACATTACCCTTGAACATGAATTCATGAATTCATGTGCTTGGAGTATCCCTGTCAGACTTGTCAGATAGGGTCTTGCCAAAAACTCAAACGCGAATCATTCCGGTGCGGCAAGGAAGGGGAACATATCGTCATAGCGGCCCGTAACTGCTACGCAGTCTGCACTTCTCGTCCATGTAGCACCGCTATTTACTTCACGATCCAAATATGTGGATCACACCGGTACATCTGCCATTGATGACATTTCGAGATAACCGCACGTCGTGCTTGCTTCTCCCGCGCTTTTTGTTTTTATTAACAATCCGCCTGTGGCGTGTGACAGACCTGCTTCTCCAGGGTTGCCGGCTGACCTCGTTCATCGAGGGATACACAACCACTCTCGTGGAGTTTGCTCGGAAGGTGCGGAGCAAGGGCAATAGACTGAGCACAACACACACACCATCCTCTTGACCTAACAGTGTTGTCGGTTGTTGGAAAGCCTCATTCGACAAAACAGCTCAGCACATCGTGGAAATCCTAGCGTTACTCTAGTCCGGAGAGCTGGGGCTGGCCCGTTGCTGACCGTGTGTTGAAGCGAACCCTCGTCCCTAGCACAGACATTTCAGAACCGGAACGGATACAACGTAGTAGCGTTCGTTGATTCATGGTGACCCTATCAACCGTTGCAGTGTTCCAGTCCAGGACTCTCCCCGGGAAAGGCCCCACAAGCGTGTTTTGTACGCCGTGTGATGGCGCCATGATTTACAATACACAACCCCGCGATGAAAGGGTAGGGCGACTTCTTCGCGAGCAAAGTCACCCCCCCAAGGGCATGAAAACGTTTTGGGGGTCGGTACAAGAGGACAACACTGGAGTTGAATTGAATTCAATGCACCCCGCAGCGGTCCACACATTCAACGGACGCCGGCGACATACGAAAGACAGGCGTAGTACACGGAACACCGCAACCTAATCCTTGGGAACACCCTTCACCCCGCCACCCCTTGCCACGGCGTCGCATATTCTTGGCCATGGTAGGCGTACACTCTTGCCTGCGAGGAAACAGAGGGCGTTCAACGCGAGAGCCGGCTGCGCGCTGTGTTGTACATCGCGCAGTACGAGGTTATGTACGGCAACGCAAGCTCGACCATTGAGAAGCTCAAGGCAAGAAAAATACTTTCAAGCAATACACCCAAGTACTGGTCTGTTTGCGAAGGCATTCTTTCTTTGGTTCTCAACCACGGCACATATTATACTGGCCGCTGTTGCGAATCATACATACCCTTAGTGGCCGTGAGATTGGCATGGAGCGCTTTGGGTCGATGCCCCTACTCTCTGCTCTAGACGTTCCGCTCCAACACTGTTTTCAACAGGAACTATCAAGACTGAAGAACATGATGGCCAACGTGTTGCCGTTCTCAGCGCGGACAATGTAATGCATGTATTGGGTTAGTTCACGCCTCTTGCGCTAGCCGGTGATCCCACCAAAGGTTCGCTATGTTGTCGTATTTGTGATAATCGGCCTACAGCATGTAGCCCAGTATGTGGAGTCTTACCGCAATATTCCCCTCAAATGTTCAGCCTATTAATAGCCGCCAAGTCGACGAGAATGTTACGTCGGCATGGCTAGCTCCTCGAGCGCATTGGCCCTGCTACGCTAGGCAAGTGGCAGCCCTAAAGTACCGCTATGCAACGTTCTGTCTAGCTCGCAGACGCAGCAGGCGCGGGTGCAGCTGTAAGAATGAGTTCGGCGTCACGGGAACGAAGGAGACAAGTGGTCGCTTTTCGTAGATAACACAAGATAATACAATTTTTAATTTTGCCTGATGTTGATCCACAATTAAGGCCGTGGTCGAATGATTCCGTCGTCGGGTGGCAATTTTCTGGTGGCAAAAACCGCCGCGATATCAAGATGTCAACGCCTCCGGCGATTCCTAGTTAACCTGATGTGTCGCTCGTGGGCTATCCTCCACATCTCTGGTAGGTGTTGTTCGACTCTATCCCTTCGGCAAAAGTGGTTCTGAGGATAGAGCCAGCGGCGATCCTCGCGGCTATCCTGACGCAAAGGGGGCAATTTAAGCAAGCCAGAGTGTACACGAACGTTGTTGCGGTAAGTGCAGCACTTCGATTCCGGGTAGGGAAAAGACCGATCTGTTGCCGCCGTGTAGGCGTTGTGTGTGTGCAGCTCGATATTGTACAAGTTTTAAGGCTACACATTGACGACAGTTACAAAAGCGCCTGATGATCTTGCTGTACGGGCGGCTCCGATGGTCCGCCAAGTAAACGCAAACGAATGCTCGAGACACGTGCGCCACTGTGCAAAAACAAATTTCCACCGTACGACATATTCTGGAACGATTAATGTCGGGTGCTTGCTGTTCGTGCCTCGACCTTGCACGCGTACAGGAGTGGAAGGCCGCCGGGAGGCCTGTTCCTCTGTGCCTCGTCATGTACGAACCCGTGGTCACGCTCATGTCCATAAACATCATCTTAGCTGCAGTTGGCGCAGACGATTCGAGACATCTAAGGTGGCTGAACGAACTCGAAAGGTTCGTGCGAGGCGATTGTTCGAGGAAAATAAATTCAATGCTATGTTGCAAGCCTCACCGTAATCTTGCCTTGTTGTTGGTACAGTTAGCCCGCGCGATTAAGAAACGTCAATTTGGGGTGGTCGAGGCTCGATTTTCTTATTTTGTTACCAATGTCGAGCAGAGGTCATTACATAGAGTTTTGTGTAGGATCCACGGCTGAGGTATGCTTCCTAGTCGATTTTTCTTGCTTATCACCAAAATCTGAGCCTTGATTTCAGAAGGTTTGTTATCTACTCGCGGGCGCTAGCTGTATCGTTCAACCTAGATCTTTGCCGCCGCGGCTCTCCCATACAGGGTTGGTGTCGTCTTCAGTTTAGGATATGTCTACCGGATGAAAACCAAACCCGAGACTTGGGAGAAGGGGAGAAGTGGCTATACCGGCCGTGGGACGTGATGCCACTGTTTGGTCGCTGCCACGATTGCCACGGTCGATGCCACTGTTTGATCGCATACCATCTGAGAAGAAGGGCTGGCGTGAAAAATATTGTTTGTGTGTGTTTGTGTTTTCGTCCTATTTATTATGGCGACAGTCCCCCCATTTTCGTGGTGAGACGTGTACTACACTTTTCAGCGTATGTAGAGTACTACACTTTTCAGTGTATTTTTTCGTACAACTACAACCATCCAGGGTCACACAGGAGGGGGTAAACACCAGGGATTTTTTCTTCTTTTTTATTATTTTCATGCCCCAGTGTAGTGATGAAACATAAAGAACAATAACGGGAAAAGACGCAATCCCAGCGTTGTCACGCAACAAAGAACATAAAGGTTAGGGGAGTCAACGACAATTTCACCTTTGAACTTTCTCACCCTGTTCTACTGAGCTTACAGTTCTGCAACCCTGGGTCACACGGAATCATTCCCTCTTCTTTCCCCGAGGTCGTCCCAACGGGAGTGCAACTGCTGGGCTTTGCTGCGGTTCCCAAAAACAAACATCCGTTTGCTCCTTGCTTCGTCCAGTGACAAACGATTCCCGGGTGGGGGTGGCTCAAACACGTCCCCGACAAAAATAACTGAAATTGTTCACGTCTTCGGCATGGTTCACTCAGTTGTACGGAAACAACCAGTTGCACAAGACTCTGTCCTATTTGCGCGACCCTTTCAAACATCTCTATCTCGTTTTGGTGGCTATGGACCCCTCACGGCACTAGCGGGAACAAATCATGACCTTTTTCACGCTTTTTGTAGAGCCTTTGGCCAAACCAATAATCTAACGTTGTAAGTAGCCGTTTCGTACAACTTTGATCCAGTAGTTGATTCCAACTAGTTGCGCCAGATTCTTACCGTGTAGTTTTTTGGAAACACTGGTTGCATAAGATTCTCGCACAGTAGAATTAAATCCATCTTGCCAAACTGTTGTCCGAGTTGAACTACACATACATGTGACGCCGCAGAAGCTCCCCGCACGGGTGCCATCTATCCTACCCTCAATTTACACGTGTACGTCGTGTTCCACCACCGTTTATTGCCAATGACACCTGCGACAGTTACCTCAAGTCCAACGACTCCGGGGTGTCTAAGAAGCCGTTCAACCTGTACGCGTCCATGTCGCTCTTCGGCATGCTCTACCCGATGTGCTTCGAGTACGCGGAGATGTTCCGCTTCTATCACAGCGTGTACCACGTCGTCTACCACCCTCAGGTATACGGTTATTGTCATCGTTGTTGCATTGTTCAATCCCGGTCCACAATCCCCTACCGGTTACTCTCTTGCATGTGCTGATCCACCTGGAAAATAAAAAATACGTATGGAATGATTTCGTTCCGTCGTCACAAGCTCATAAGGAAGAAAACGAGGAAGGAGGTGAGGTACGGTTAGAGGATGCGGAAAATCACTCAGTCGCGGAAAATGCGGGTGGAGTGGACGACTCGTACATGGAACGTGCCGCTTCCGGGGTACTAGAGGACGCGGGAAATCACGCAGTCACGAAAAATGCGGGCGGAATGGACATCTGGTACATGGAACGCGCCGCTTCCGGGGCACGTGTTGTAAAAACACAGCCGCTTGGCTACACGGAGGCCGCCAGTGGCTGGTTTGCTGCACACACGCAGCAAAAAAGCACAATTAGATAACAGAATGCTTTGACCAAGAATGCAGCGATGGCATTGGCTCCCCGAGCGCCAAGCAATACATTCACGCCAACCATCCCCGGCAGTGGCAACAATCCCAACTCCGCCCCCCACCTCCCGGAGCCGGACCACACAATTTTTCTTCATGGCACACCAACCCTTAGTCCGATGTAAGCAGAATATCTCTGTTACGTGTGTCATACATAAGAGAGAGTGCAACATGACAGAAGCAGGCTACCGCGTGGAAGTAACAACCGTTTTCATCGCCTCTCTTGTTATTCATATGTGATGGGTGGGTGGGAACGATGGGCAGGTGTTGCTGCCTATCCGAAGAGGGCTTATGTTTCAGGCCTCTAGCGCAACAAGCCGAGTTCAAGCCAAGAACGTCGTCATCACGCAGGGGGTTGAGGTTATGAGCCTCATGTGCCAAGTCTACCAGTCCATAACCTCACCGGTTACGAATTCGAAGAAGGTGCGGGGCGTGCTTGGGAGCTGAAACCACCTGCAAAACCTCAGGAGTAACGCCAATCTTGTTTTGTATCACCATGCTGCGTGGGTCTAGCTCACCTCAACTTTACAATGTAACGCTGGGTGCGCTTGCTGAAGTACTGTACGCTCGAACTTCGAAGGAAACAATTTCGAACTTCAGTATCTACCGTCCGAGTTGAGAAGTGATATCAACGATATGCTTGAGGGGTACTGAAGGGAGCGACGGAGCCGCCCGAACATCCACACACAGATGCCAGATATGAAGTCATCTACGTACGTCGCCTCGACACAAAAACAGCAGCGCATGAGGAGGGTGTCTCTCTCTCCCTCTCTGCTGATCATGTTGCTCTCTGGGATCCTACGTTCACGAAGGAGACATTAAAGTGTTGACTCCATCTTGTTACTGTTGACGCACTCCTTCGCGCCCATCCTCTCCCTGTCCTTTCCCCGCCCTCACTCTTTCCATCGGTCGCGCATGGCGACAATCTTGCGCGCGTCATCTCCACCGTCACATCAACACGAATACCGGGCGCCAACCACCCCAGCCAAAACAATACTTCAGCCAGCTCATGTCAATCGTGCGAAGCCAGCCAACACCGGCAGCCTGCGCCGCCGTCTACCAGGCAGCGCGCTTGCTCCGACTGTGGGACCGGGCCCGTGAATCCCTCCAACTGTGGGACGCCTTGCCCACCTTCGAAAGCAGCGAAGAAGCCCGCCGGAACGCGAACGCTGGCGCCTCGGACGCGACGTTTGATGTAGCTGCGGTGTATCCGCCCATCGAGATTACTGCCGATACAATCTCCTCGGCGTTGAGACCGCAGGCGTATCCCACAGATTCCAGGATGACACGGTCTATTTCCACGGATTCCAGGGGTCATCTTGATGCTGATGATGGGGATCTGGCCGAGGACGTACCCGTGGACATCTACGGGTGTATCTTGCTCTTCTGCAAAGGCGATACCGAGGTAAGGTAGATCTCGTGTGTGTCATTCATATTGTTTTGTGATTTTCGTGCTTGTTGTCGTTGTTGTTCAACAACAACCATGTATTGCAAGTATTGAGGGCATGGTTCTTCTACAACTTGCAATGAGCAGTCGGCTTTGCTTGTGCTGTTGGTGTGACTAACGATTCACGGTCCAACACTCGAAATACGTGCGTAAACCTGCACACGTAGGACACGACACGATGTGTGAAATGTGGTCATGGAGAACCTCACAGTATGTTTCCGTCTTGCAAGGGTCCGTACCCACTCACACACCCACATCCACAATGCCAAACAAAATCTTAACATAATTCTTCGTTGGAGTTGCAGATGGGAGAAGTGGTGGACGAACGACGCCCGACGGGCGATGCCACATCTCCGGCGCGGGAACAGGCAGACGAATTGCAGCTCGAAAACACGCGTCTAGCTGCAGAACTCTTCGCAAAGGCGGCAGATGGTGCCGCATTGGTGAGTTTAAACGATTGATTAACCTTAGAGAACATTCGACCCATTTATTGTGAGGAAGGGTGCGGGGATGGTGTGCCTCATGCCCTATTGTTCAATCCCCCGGGGATCTACAGTTTCACAGCGTTTCAGTCCTTTCATTTGTGTCAGCGAGAGGAGGGGGGGCATAGGGTAGGTGGTTTGTAAAAAGTTGTTTTGACAAGGCCGCGTGCTACTACCACATTTCGGTGGTGATGCCTGTCAGGCACGATCCATGAAATCAACCACGATGGTTGGTGTTTTTGGCGGATTCTATTCAGTTGATGGGATAGCCGACTGGGTTTTTCTGAGAATGGGTAACGCTACCGAAAGAGACAGGGGTGGCCATGAACGGAAGACAAACATGTCCGCAGGAGGTTAACGAGCAAACAAAATGAATAGGAAATAAGATGGGCAACACGCTGAAGGGGTTGAGTGGGAGTACATTATTGGTCAGATTTCATGCCTGAATATACCCATGCTTGACAGGGACCCTTCCAAACCCACGCATCTCTGCGTCATAAAACGACAAAACCGGGCAGATCGGCAATGGTCTAATGGAAGTGCGAGCGTCTTGCGCGTGCGCACGGCTGTTGTGGGAAACATTGGATCAGGGTCCAGACGCGCGTCGAAGGCTTCGTCAGATTTTTGACAAGTTCGACACGCTGTGCTCTCTCCCGAATTTCTTCACGCCATTACGTCTTGCTGGCCTCACCGCCGCTATGGTGAGAAGGCAACACGATGGTTGGAAGCATCGGTTGTGAAAAAGGGCAACAACACTCCAGAAGAAGTGGAAAGTTCATTGCAATAGAGTACCCCTTCCACTAAATGACAAGCCACGAGCAGCGTTGCTCAGATCACCGTTTAAAGTGCATGTTCCTGCCATTCGCCCCTGCAACTGAGACATCGGTGACGACTCGTCACCGGCGTCATTTCATACACAGCATCGTTGTTTCACGGTGTCGATAAACCTACGTAACGTTTTTTTCACTAAGCAGACTCCCATGCGAAGGTGGCGAGTTTCTGCAAACGTTACGCGACGGTGTGTTGTTCTGTGATTTTTCCGGCGGTGTCGTTGCCTAACTGGGTACGTGTCACCTTCCTTTTCTCGCCATGAATACCACTCAAACACTCCGACGTGATTTCCGAAGTTCTCCCTGCAAGCAGACGGACGCAGACCCCTAGAGTTGGGCTGTCTCGAAAAGCAAGAAGTATATTTCACTGCTGTATTGGACACATGGGCGGCCGTTCGTCCCCTTCCCGAGCTGCCGGATCCTTCCCTCCGTATGCCCATTGCGAAACGTTGTGTTACTGTTGCAGCGCCTGAACAGCGATATGGGGGGGTGCTACGAGGATGGAGATACAAGTGACAACGATGAGTATGGATTCGGCGCTATGCACGCTGAGGACAGTGACGACAGCAGCGAGGACAGTGACGAAAGCGAAAGCGACGATAGTGGGCAGCAGAAGGACACGATCACTGTTGGAGAAGCACACGAGAAGAAGGATGGGGAAACAGTGGAGGAGCGCGGGGGGGAGGAGGAGGAGGACGAGGAGGATGAAGAGGATGAGGAAGATGAGGAGGATGAGCATGATTTGGGAAGGACAAAGAGCGACAGGGCGGAAGGACCTGGCGGAGAGACGGACAATGAATCAGCAGCAGCAGCATTAGCGCACAGGCAGAATCAGCCCATTGCCTCGCCACAACCAGCTTCGTTCACGCGCTCGAGCTTGAAAGGCACAACCTTGCTAAACCAGTCTGTGAAAAAAAAACAGGGTCGCAACCGGCATTATGTTAGGTTTAGGCAATTGCCCGAAGAGGATAGTGGCGATGACCTGGGAGAGCAAGAAGATGTTAACAAGGGAGACATCAGTGAAGCAGAGTCCAGCCGGGAGAAAGAAGCCAAGGAGCCTGCACAAGCAGGGCCCCCCCCACTGGCAGAAGAAGTCGTGTCCAACGATGAGCCAACAGCTGATTCTCTTGGTACTGGACATGTAGGTGAAGAAGAGGGGGCACGCGGGCCACTGGCTCGGGCTAACACTAAAAGACGGACTTCCGGCCCTATTGACGTGGCTACTCTTATTTTGCCCCACAGGCCGAAAGCCAAGCGAGAATCATCTTGCGCGCCACATAGAGGTGGGGCACATAGGAAGCTATCGCCGGTATCGAGCGAACGAGGCGACACCATGGATGAAGGCGGATAGCGTTGTGGGGACTGACCAGGAGGCGTGAGGGAACACAATACTTCGTCGACGCGTCAGCCGAAGCCCTGTTTGGGGGGGGTGCACTGCACCTCGCCAGGGTCCCATTCGGGGATCCCATTGAAGCTTTGTCGTGTGTTGTCGCTTGGGCCCATGCGGAAGGCGACCACCATCATCCAACGGCCATTCAAATCTTTGGGACGAGGACAACTCATCCGTAGGGCTGGCAGCGTGTCGGTGTTGTCGATTGAGGTGATATTTGGGGAGCTTACACTAATTGACGTAGTATGAAGTGCCCGCCGATGAGACGGGAAAGGTGTGGGCGACCGCACCCATCCGGGGTTTGAATCTAAGAGAATCCCGCCCTAACTTGTAGTGGAGGTAGTTGTATTTGCTGCATACGCCAGCTTTTCAAATCAAACGTTGCTGCTCGTGGGCTTCCTAACCCAATCCCCTATACGTCTGTAGCTTTTCTCGTGTGTACAGTGTGCTGCTGCCTGCTCGAATCATGAAAGCTCCGAGGCAGTCGTGAATGTCTCCATTGTTTGAGTGTAAAATTAGGGTTGCTAGGGCGTGTTCAACGTAGAGTCTCCCCTGGGGTGCGTAGAGGAGAAATCACAATAGTTCGGTGTAGGCGATCAATTTATAATTTTGGAAGTAGACTCGTGTGAAAAGAGGGAATCGTCCTCGACAGACGTTGGGGAGTTTCTACCTTTATGAAGGTGGTCTCCACATTACCCCCCCCTTTTTTCGAGACTTTTTCTTGTTGCCCAGGCAAGAGAAGTCTTCTTGGGGTAACCGGAACCCGACCGGCTGGCGGCGGGGCGATTCACATTCCTCACAATCCTCTGTACGTGTTTTACGGGTTCGCTACCTCCGCCACGTTTTTCAGAAGTTCCGAGTTCGATAGCCAGTGCGTCCTCCCTTGGCCCACCCACCGTTTTTTCTTTTTCCGTTATCCGGAAGAAAATTTAGTGACCAGCGGGTTTTGAACCCGTGTCTTTTGCAACCAAAAGCAGACACCCTGACATCTCACGTCGACGCCATTGTGAAAAGAGGGAATCGTCCTCGACAGACGTTGGGGAGTTTCTACCTTTATGAAGGTGGTCTCCACACTCGGAGTATTATATATTATTGTTTTGATTTGTACAGCCCTTCTCAGACCTCCAGGGTATGAGTGGTTGGTCACGTTGGCGAAAGGAAAGGACAAACACCCCAAGGCTTCAGGTGATTTCATATCATAGCGGTGCTCCCGGGATGTTTTTTTCTGCTTTGGAGCTTGAGCGATGGGCCCTGCTTTTATTGACGAGCCTTGCTCTATCCTGCAGTTTGCCTCTTTATTTGAAGACGTATTGTGTTGACACATTTCCCCCCGCCGACTGGTGAGAAGGTGACCTTGTCTGGTGCATTCAGTCGGTGAAACATGTTTGGGATCAGCCTACAGTCTAACCGCGGACGTGCATTCCTCCACGCTGAAAATACCGGCAGAGGAGACTGGGATTTTGTCAGCTGCCTACTTGTAGTAAAAAAAGAGACTACGAAACCAGCGTCATCAACACTTCGGCGACTAAGACACCTAAATGAAAAGAGGGCCACAGTGGCTGAGTGATTCAGTTGGAAACCTAATGTGCGAATTTTTCTCTTTTGGCTTGGCTTGATTTCAAGGTTCGTCGCGGGAGAAAAAAACTGAAAGTCTTGCGAGAGTGCATTTCCGTCCGAGAGAGAATCTGCAATGTTTAAGAGTGCTTTTCTGCCACATCACATCACATCACATCACATCACATCACATCACAAAAATCTCTCGTGCTTGTTAGCATTGCTGACTGAGACCCCAATTTGCAATCGGGGAACAAACAACAAAGAGGGAAGAGATCGCTAACTATGCTCGCGATCGAATTGAAGGCAAGCAAGCACCGCAGGAGGGAAGGAGGAAAATCCCTTCTGTGTGACCCCGGCTGGTGCGTTAAGCATATGCCGAAGTTGTAGACTGGCGCCCGGAATGATGGGAAGAAGAAAAGAAAAGTGTATAAAAAAGGGAAGAGACCACCGCCCGGTGGCAACACCAAGACATATACCTCGATCTGCCACGCTGAGACGCACTTAGGATCTACAGACACGTGAGGTGTAGGCCCGAAAAAATGCCGCCATCTAAGAATGTGCGTGCTAACGAGAACAAGACGCAACAGGTCAGCAAGGGGTGCGCCTACACTCCACTCGCAACTTACCAATGACTGGCCTGTCCTCATGTGCATATGAACGAGACAACAAAATCCGTTCAACGTATGTCTAGCTGTGCCGTCTACGGCTGCAGCGCACGTCCGATAACCCGCTGGAGAGTATCCTGGCGTGCTATGTACCGATGCGATAGACGGGGGATAAGGCCGCACGCTCCAAGCCGGCCAACGGTTACTCTCCGAGCTACACCGCTTTGCGCCAACAGGATATGGCAGATTTGTTCTATCCATCGCCGACGCCCTCGTCCAGCAACCTCTCGCCCTGCCAGAGACTTGGGAAGAAGTACGCCGGACGGCCTCCTCCGCCGCCCATCGCGGGTCCTGCCCCGTCGCCGTCCACCCACGCCATCCCTTCCTGTGGATCGAAAGGGTATTGAGGTTAGGAAGGAAGGACGTGCTTGCGTGACTTCACGGCCAGCACCGCGACTTGAACGCTCCCCTCATAATACTTCCCATCTCTAGCCGGGGTCACACTGAAGGTTCTTCTCTCCCTGAGACGATCTTCCTACGGTCGTGCATGCCTTCGACGTAGTCGAGGTGGGTGCTTATCTTCCCCCTTTTCAAAGACGCTGATTGGCAGCGAGACCGGGCAGTAGCATCGCACAGACAAAGGGCCGCGCACACCACTTGCAGGTAAGGTGGACCTGTGCTTCTTACGGAACAACCCTAGAAGCGAAGAAGAAGAACTCGGCAATTCATCCAAAGTCGCAAGCAGCGATGGTGCGCTTGAACTTGCACACAAATAATAAAACAGTTTTCTTATACCTGCATGAGCTCGTCTAGCACCCTCCGCGGGCGGCCCCCCTCCCACTGCAACTTTTCCGAGATGTCCGCTTCGGTGATGCGACCAGAAGCCTCCGCCAAAAGAAGCACCGCCGAGTGGTCGGAGCTCAGCTCACGAGGGACCGATACGACCATGGTGGTCTTTCCGATCTCGAGCACCTTCAGGCGACGATTCACGGGACAAGGGGACCCGTGGTATAGGTGCAGAAACGCTTTCGCGACCAACTGCTCACTTACTTATTCAACAGGGCTGTGTGGGTAGCGACAACAGTCCTTCGGTTATCACTGTACGTGCGGCCGTGCTGCCGCAAAGTAATATCTGAAACGAAACCCCAAGACGCGTGTGCATATGTGTGTGTTTTAATTGTTAGCATCGACCGCACTAACCGGCCGACCAACGAAATTTGTCAGTATGAGTGCGGTTGAAAACACCAATTGCCACAAAAGGCCACGATCTGGGACCCTGTGAGGGAGCATCATGCGGGAGTCTACGGCTACTCTCCGGACAAACGACACATACCGTAGCAATACTGTAACAGAAGAAAACTGCACGTGCTTCCCATGGCTGCTATGTGCGTACGTGTGCCAGCTGAAGATCAGATGTGAACTTCTTTTCGACGAAGGATCGGCATGTCTCCGACGTCTGTCTCACCGAAAAGCCGCTCCCGAGAACCTGCAGCTTCGACGTCGCTCTTCGGACATCATCCGTGGAGATTTCTTGGCGTTTTTTTCGGTTTCCTTTTGCTCGGAGGCGTTGCAGCAGCTCCTACGCGCAAGGAACACAGCGGAGGACGAGGAAGGGAGGCCCTTTCCCTTTCAGGGACAAATTTACGTACCATGGAACAGGAAATCTTTCTCGGCAGTGACAACTGAATATTGTCGAAGGACTCCTTCCGGTTCCAACGCGTCGTGCTTGCACGTACAACTTGATCCGTCCTCTCTGCAGCAACAAGCAGCATTTGGGTGTAACCGCCTGGACCACAAGAGCAGTCTGAACAATGACGCCATTCATCTTTACCCCAACCTCACGGGCTACGCATCCTTCTCACCGGCAACGCCATAAGCCCCCCGTTCACAGATCTGGTCGCGAGGCAAACCTCCACAATCTGCACCGCAAGTTCGTAGTAGAAATCGCCGACGCCAAGTACCTCAGCCCAAAAGCCCTTGTTCGATGCCAGAGGGTCCACACTTTTTCACGAAAAATGTCGTTTTTCGTGAAAGAGGGGGGAGGGGTACGCGGTTGGGGATTTAGGTGGAATACGTGTGGGAACATTGCGAGATCGACGAGGTATGTGCGAAGGAGCACAGGTGACGCTAAGAACACATCGGAAAACAGATCTTGCATACGTGGGCAGTTGAAGTGCTCTAAAGGTCGAGTCAAATCTACAAGGCGAGCCAGCAGTCACAACTATTGAGGGGCGAGTGCGTTCCACTCTCCGAAAGTCCCAGGCTACGAGTAGATCCTCGAAGTGCATGCACAGGTTGCATGTGCAGAGAATCGGGTTGGTTCTTGGTGTCGTTGTTGTCTCCATATAAAAACCGTCCCGATCTCTACAACCCAGTACTACCTTCGTCTGTCCGTACTGACCTAACACTTGACGCGGTCGATCCCCGTGGGTTTGGCAAGTAAATATCGTACAATTTCGTATAGCTGCAAGAGTCGGCCCGACTCCCTCAATACCATCAGCAGTGGGGTGACATACATCTCTCACTCACTCGATTATGCATATCTCTGTCTCTCTTTGCACCTTCGACCCCCCTAGCTATGTCTCTCTCTTTCCCCCTCCCTCTCTCGCACCCGATGCTGGCACACATGACTTGAAACTGCTGTCGAAAAGCGGGGTCCTGGTTGATGTCCTTCTTGTATTTCCGTGCGAACTCCTCCAGGCTACCCTTGAAGGTTGCCATCATGCCCGATATGTGGCTAAGGTTTTCCTCCGCAACTCTCTTGCCGACAGCCTCAAACGCCTGCCGCGTCAGAGGCATTCGGGGTCAAGTGGATTTGATCAAATGCGACAGGCATGCCCCACACGTTTGCAAGAGGGACCCCCGACCCCCGGGTTCCAAAGCACTGGACGCAGGTTTAGCTCGTACAACGTGAATAGATGATAAAATGCACAAAAGTCAACCAAGTCCCTTAGGAAACAATGCCGGTCGCCCCGGTGGTCTAGTTGGTATCCTCGAAACCTTCAGAAGATCAGGTCAGGGGACGAATCCCGGCGTAAGCGAGCTTTTCTTGCAAAGTGAGTTGTTCTCTCGCTTCCGCTTCTGGTCTAGTGGATAGCGCTAGTTCGTGTGTACACAGAGGGAACAGAGTGCTGAACTTTTCTCGCATAAAAAATCGAAGGCAAAGTACCGCAGGAGGGGAGGGAAGACAGGGGCTCTTTTGTGTGACCACGGGTTGGAGTAAATGGCACTAGTGCTGTGAGCGCTGATTTGAAGTGATTGTAAAAAATAAAATAAGATAAATAAACAATGCCGACAGCCTGCGCCTACAACTACCGAGCTGCTTTACCACAAGCAAACTTTCCGGGAATTTTGGCACATGCTGGACAGCTCGAGGTAGAAAATGCCTTGCATGCTGATGGCATCCGCCTCGCTGTCAGCCCGCACACGACACGCCCATCATCATTCGAAAAAGTTCATCGGCCGTTTAGCGCATATTGCTTGGTACTGCTACACATGTTTGGGAGCCTGATGGTAGAATCCCGTACGCTTGCAACGTGGCAAAACGTCCGAAGCGCGTAGACTACATCCATACGATACGCTGTCACGCCGCAGCTACTGCACTTGTGTCAAACAACACATCTAATACCAAAAACAGCATGCTGGCATTCCTTCGAGGTGGTAAGCTTCGTTTTGAGTGGGTTGCTTGTCATGCAACTCGTTCGGGTGTCGTTCAGCCCTTACGTGACTTAGCTAGTATAACTTCTTTGTTTCGCCTTGTCCTCAAGAAGTGGTTATTTCAAGTTAAACGTAACAAATGTTACATGTATGTAGCACACCATCGCCAAGGTACACACACGGCGGCAGGGATGATGCAGCGATGAGGAGACATCCTTGTGTGTTACCGATCTTTGTGCCAGACGAAGTAACGAACTTCTATGCATACGTCAAGGGGTGAAACCCGATCATGCTTTTCATTCTACATGTACCCTGCGTTCGACGTCCGGCTGCGCTCTTGTGGCACACTTATTTCAAGTCGTTTGATTGCTGTCACTGCACGTCCATTTACGGTCTGTTAGTGATTCTTCAGGTCCAACCGGTGTTGAAGGCTAGGATACACAGCGCAAGGCTAGGACACGCCGTGGCCGACTTAACCCAACCCAACCCGAACCCTAACGCTGACCCTCACCCACGGCCAACGCACGGTCTAGAGGCCGCAAACTGGGCGAGAACGCGGCGCAGCCGCGTTCTCGAAATGTGTAACGATGAGAGGGCGCTGGAAAATGTCAAGGCTAGGAACCAACGCCTGACCAATCAGATGGCCTAAAACCGCTTTAGATAGGAAGAGTCACTAAACAACAGGGCGTGAAAACTATTTGCACACAACTTTTCAGATCGGAAATGAACCAATCCCAACGCCGATCATCAACGTGGCGATATAAGCCTCAGAAACCTTCGACGTGTCTCTGTTGGACTACTGCTGTAGCAAGGGGCCGCGGAAACTCGAACTGGTAGTATCATATTTGAAGACTCGGGGAGAGGAGGTAAAGGCCAAAAATGTCACCCATGCTGAAGGCCGCGACAACAGCCGACTGAAATACTTCCCGCCACAGGCTACGTCTGTTTTTGCCTACGACGAAATCACCAATATACATCGTGTAGTAGAGTGTCATGGGAGAGTACATTCGCCTTCAAGTACAAGTAGCCCTCGTAAGTTACAGCAGTAGACTTCATGAAAGTAGTCCAATATTGTATGTACATAGTTGTTCAACAACCTGGTTTCACCAAAAGCACAGAGGACTGAAACATTGTTGTACAGCACACACATTGAGGCCACAAATATCGCTAGAGCTAATATTTCACACAGAGGTCATGTACGTATCGACAGCTTTTTGGTTCGTAAACCGGCAGAAGCACTACATACACCAGCACGAGCCTGCTGTGGTGCTGAATACTGCTGTGTAGTGTATGTACTGCTGTGGTGCTGAATACTGCTGTGTAGTGTATGCCCAAGTCTAACAGGGAGACTTATTTCATTGCCCACCTCTTTGTTCTTCTCTTTGCGCTTCACCGCACCCACGCCAACTCCTCGTCTTCTCATGGCGATGCTAGTGTACCGACAACACTGCACCTTTGTCGAACACTGTGTCACAACTAAACAGGAGCAAGTACAGCAGTGGACAAACTGCAAACTTGTGTGCAACAAGCCAAGCAACTGCTGCACTGCTGTGCACAAAGCAAACAAACAGCAAGCGGGGGAGCTCCGCCAATTGAATACTACCTACCCCCAACCCGCACGAGCAACCATCGTGACGGCACCATGACCAGGGCCAAACAGCAGTCACAGCTAGTGCACAGCGCAGCACCGCCGTGGAACCAGCGTGAGCGCAGCACCCGCACACTGTCACACTCAAGTCTTCTGCCTGAAACGGTGGGTGGTGTCGAGTATATGCTTAGGTGCTTCTCCTCGCTTGTGATATTGCTTGAGTGCAAGACCACACCGTGTAGAACCAGGAAAAGCGTCGAATTTTAGAACATTTCCAGCGCTCGCGCTCAGCAGGGTGCCTATTTATGCATACGTGGTTGCGTGTGCAACGCAGGAGGCGCGCAGAGGCAGGCAATCAGATGCAACTTTGAGGCCCATGGGGCCTGATTGTACTCGCGCGAAATCTCCCCACCACTGGCGAGGGCAACATTGGTTGACAGACAAGTTGATCACACCGCCGGCGGATATATTTGACTGCCTCTTTTTTGTACCCTCTCCAACGTCATGTGGCATGGACGTCGTTGGGGTCTGACTTGCCGGTACGGGGGTTTTCCGCTGAGACGCGTGGCAGGTTCCAGGCGTATAGCCAACTAGGCTGTGCCTTTCGGACGCTAGCAGCGAGCTGCACATCTATGCCTCCTGGTTGGATAGCTGCTGTTGATTCTTGGGGGGACACGTTGGCGATGTCATGTGTTTTTCTTTTCGTCTCTCTAACCTTGTCATCGATGATGACGGCGGATTGGGCACTTTCTCTCTTTCGTGTGACGGTGCAGTTGCCAACCCGACAGACTGCTGTTGACTGAGCAATCATTACCGGGATCGCGCAAGCTCTGTCCCCATGACATGTTGTCATTTCCCAAACAATGATGACCACTGGCGCCACGCTGTGTTACTGATGCAAAAACAACTTTGTAAACTTCCTTCTCCGCACTGCAACGGCAAGGACACCAAACACTGGCGGGTTAACATTTAACATTCCCGCCGCCGGCCCCCGCCGCCGCCATCGTTAATCCTTCTTCCTTTTTGATTCGCCAGATGCGTGCCAACTCTGAACACTGGCGAGTGAGGTACCCACAGAGAACTCCCATCCCGAGAAGACCCTCGACGCGATTCGATGCACGTCGATCGGCCGTAGGCCCAGCAGCAGCAAGGGCGGATTCTCCGCCACCGCCGCCGTTGTTCGATCTGAGACAAGCCTCTTCGTCGAGGAGGTTGTTACTGTCGCCGGCAGGGCGGCGACCGCCGGACGACCACCGTGGTGCACAGCACGCCGCTGCCGCTGCTGACGGTGGCACCGGTGTTGAGCTTGTCAGCAACAAGCGGGCGGCGGGCGGCCCGGCCGCCGATCACGGCCGCGCGGTCCGCTTCGACCGCGTCGTGAAGCTGATCCTGGTGCCGAGCCGCCTCGACTTGAGCGCCGGTCTGAGCGACGAGCTCTGGTGGAACGAGGACGACTACTTGCAGTTCAGGTGAAGGCAACAGCAGCAGCAGCAGGCTTGGTACCATGCGGGTTAATTGCGTTCTTGTCGGGGTCCGCGGCTCTCTGGCTCTCGGCACGTTATGTCACTAGAATTTTGCTTCCCATGTAATATTAGTTTTCATCACTGATATGTTTCCTTTGCACGCTACTAGAGTATAGGAGTATGACATTGGCGCGGGAGACACGAATCTTGGCACTCGCATCATAAGTTTCCGTACCGAGATGTGAGGGATAGCATTGTGACATCGAGTTTTATTCTCGCACAGGACCACACAACGGCTGGTGTAGCGTCCGCAGCGGTATGGACATTTTCGGAGGAACACGGTTGGTCGCCTCACTGAATGCTTCGCTCCTCGAAGCGTGATGGTGTATTCATGTTTTTGCATTGAACAACACATGTTCGTTACGAGCTAGCTGCCTCTCTCGATCGATTAGTGTGACTGCTTCGCTGCGATTTACCCCGAGCAACAGACTCGCCCCGTGGCCGCTGAGATAACGAATCACAACTTCCAAACGCGACGATGCACAGAAAAGCGTGTTGACACCATCATGGGACGCAACCACCAGCGCGTGCCTCGCGTTTACAAAGCATCAAAGAAGTTATTTGTGGGGAGCGATGTTCTGGGAATCGTTCTGCAAGAAGTACTTAAGAGAGCTTCAACCAACCACTTCCGGTCGTTCCCTCATGTCCCCAACCCCCCCCCTGTTTTTTTTAGATTGGGTGCCATCGTGGAGGGTAGTTCCGGGGTATTGGGAAGGACTCTCCGGAATAAGCGATCCAAGCGCATTCAACCGCCAGCCGCCGCCAGGCCGACCTACCAACACGGAAAGATCGCTCAGGCGCTGGAAAGAATGGACGGCCACGGCGGCAGCACGCGCCCCCCCATCCGTCGGCAGTTCAAGGTTCATCTATCGTCTTCCCCCTCCTTTCGAGTCCAGCCGGTTACCCCGCCCCCGTCTCCAGCCAACGCCAACGAGACTTCCATCGGGCGTGGTGTTGCAGACGAGATGGATCACCCCGATGCTTCAGGGTCTTCCCCCCGGCGTAAGGGCCATAAAGGGTGGACCTTTGCGGAGGGTTTCGATGGCCTGGTTGGCCTTGGCCTCCTACCGGGCTCGGTGGATCCCTGATAGCGGAAAGTGGTGACGATTTGCTGGCGTGCGGTGGGAGTTGCGGACGGCCGAGTGGTCGCCGACCTCGCAGGGATTGTAGCGTTTTCGCTAGGGGGGTAATGTTGAGGGTGAGGTGTTTCTTTCAAGAAGTGGCGTCAACTGTTCAGCGTATACGGGTCCGTCGAATGGGGAACGGACGCGGCACAATGTAGTGTGTGTAGTTGTGATTGTTGTGATAGTGGTGCTCGTGAAGGCATGGTACTGGCGATTGTGGTTTGCCGCTGGGTGGTGATGTTGGTGCTGTGAGGACAGTAGTGCGAGTGGGAAGTTTTGCTCTTTTTTTTTCTTTCTCTGTGCTAGTCACGGAACAATTTTGAAACAATTTTGAGAAACGGTTTTGTTGTGTGTGTTGTTGATAAGTTTTGAGTGGAGTGTGGGCATTCTGAATTTGGTCCATTTCTATTGTTCAGGGTATGCGTGTGCGTCGATTCTTGGCGGGAGGGGGGGGCAAGGTTGCGATTTCCTTTGCTTCCTGCGCCTATTGCGGTCGTGGAATATAGGTTTGCGTGCTTGCGTGGCCATCTCTAATATTGCCGCGGAAGTTAAGCTGGTGTTTTTGGCACCTTGCTCTTGCAACGAGAAAGATTACAAAACACTACGTTTGTTTACCCGAAATTGCTGACGCCTACGCGCCTACGGAAGGCCAGTTCCATGAATAGGGTGTGCATGCCTCAGGGTGTTCGGAACGGCATCCTGGGCTTATGAAACAACTGTGCCTACGGAGACTGTGGCTCTTTCCTGGAGCGGTAAATGGTGGCTGCGGAGGTTTGTGGCTGTTCCCTGACGCGCTATAGAAACAAGGAAAGCCCTCGGCGTAACCACTGATTCGTACACGTAGAGGGGTACAACTGCGGTTCCCTCGGTCGTTAACTTTATGGCCAACGCGCAACCACCGAAGTCCAACCCGTAAAACAAATGATTGACACGACGCAATTTACATGAGCCAAAATGGGCCCCCACAAGAGCACACAACGGCCTTTAGCTCGCTACTTACGATGTTGTTGGAGTTGCTCTACTCCCGGCTAGGTCATTGCAGTCTCGACCTCCTTCGACAACCAGACCCTGCTTTTTCGTAAAACCGGCATACGGCGGTTGAGCACACTCATTTTTTGAAGCCCCTTTTCTCCCGCGAGCTCACACGTATAATAGAATCCGCCCGGATGAGTGTAAAGCTAGCTATTTCTCCTGTTTGATTGTTGGTTCTACGCAAGCCCCAAGGTCTCCATCTCGCGGGGGAAGACTCCAGCGAGAAACCGGGAAAGCGTCCCGTGGGGGTATGCCGAGAGGTGCGCCCACAGTGCCCACAATCCCACCAGCAGCATAGCCTGCAAAATGTCGGAGAAGAATGAAAGAATGGCGTTGGTACCGACCCAGTCAATAGCTGGCGCATATGGGCTGCAAAAACGGTGTCAAAAAATCATTTGCACCTACACCGCCAGCTCAACGCCATCTTGCCTCGCTGGGGTCTAGATCATGATACTGTACTTCGCCACATGTATCACCGCTGTGGCGCTCTTGCAAGCACAACGGCGTGTGGGGTGGCAGCACCGCCTTTCGCACGGTTGCGCTGGCTGCGTACGGAGACCATCAAAGAGACTGCCTTTACACCCCTTCCTCCTCACCAAGGAGAGGGATCCGGAAAATCCCACGCCGTCATCTTTGGGGTCTCGCGCAGGGGACCCACCGCCCGGCCCCGAGTTTGACTGCTCAAGCTCCTGTTTCGCGTCCGCAACAGCTTGGCGAACCTTCACCAGACATGCGTGAAACACAACAAGGAAGACGCACATAAAGTTGCTCATGTGCCAGAGGCTCCGTGAGGGATCAGCCCGACGTCAGTGAACACAGATGCCATACCGGAGCAACACCTTAAAAAGGCGCATGGGAGGGCATGGGTCGAGGATTCTCCCTGCCATTCCAACCACACCCAGGAATACGTCTGGGGATTTATCGGTCGAACAGAAACTGTTTAGGAGGTGGGAACGTGTTTACGCACCTGGTCCTCCGTCAAACCCAACATCCTTGCCGCCTTGCTGGAGCCAATCTTTCGAGCTAGTTTGTCTTCGTCCAATCGGCTGGCGTCCCACTCCGCTAAGGGGATGTGAGAGAATACAGTGGGAAGGGCACGTTCTCTTTGACCGATGGTAAATTATAGGGTTCAACGAACTTTCAACATGGACGAAAGGCTTGCAGCGATCTCTACCCAGAAAAACAACCTCTCAAGTGAACACAGCCGTCGCGAAATTGTGTGCAACCGCGGATCCACTGGAGTACTCAATATCGGGACCAGAAGAGTGGCACAATAGCACGGACGGACCCATGTGCGCTGCCCCCTCTTATGCGGTCGGTCTGAAGGACGACTCGTGTTATTCGTTGACGTCTCCTGCACCCTTTTGCCCTCCCCCTGCCCCTGACATTGGACGATTCGTCGCAGGGTACTACGTTGTGGATTCGTTCCATGGTTGGCGCGGTTCACAACCTCACCTCTTCCAGCCTCATCCCTGACGTTTCCAGTCTCTTTGCTTTGGCTCTCTGTGGTGGTGTTGACGAGGGACTCCTCGCCTGCCGCTGCTGACAACGGCGGACCCTTCGCTTTTTTTCGTCTCCGCAGCTGCGACAGGTTATCTACCACTCCCTGGATCTGTTGCAAGCCGGCCGGCTTCTGCTCGTCCACCGCCCCAGCGGACCCTTCTCCGTCGACTTTCTTCGCAACCCCAACTGTCTCCTCCCCTCTCATCTCCGGTGGCAAATCGATGCCTGGGGATAATAGAGCGGGGGGACGGGTACCGGAAAGTAGGAAAACATTGCAACATGGGCAAAAGTCGCAGCCAGCCGGATGCCTCCTTGCTGCTGTACGTCGTTTGCGCCTGGTGGTGCGATTCTCTGCTCTCAGTTTCCTTATCATCCCCCCTTACTCACCGATCTATGCAAATACCTACATACTTATCAGCAATATTTTTCTCTGCAGTCGCATGTTGGCCGTCGCTACATGATCAATTATGCCGTGCATGAGTCTGATGGGCACCTTACTACGCCCGCCAAGCCTATTGGCAACAACAAATGAAGACTGGCAAGCGACAACTCTGTAGCGGTTCAGACTTGTAAGACAGCAGTGCTTGCATGGCTGTGCATATGTAACGATGCGAAATCCTCGTATCATGGGCTCACCAACTCCGGTGTAATCGATAGGCTTGCCAGGATAAGCAGCTATGGCGGCTACCACGGATAAACCTAGCAGTATGCCGAGAAGAAGGGAGAACTTGGTGTCTGTGCGGACTTGTAGAGAGGAAACATAGCTCTGAAGGACCGTTGCCCCATGCTCGATGTTGCTTCGGATATTCTGCGCGGCGAGCACACGAAAAGAGAGGTGTTGGTTAGAGTCGCTAAAGAACAGCATTACCGTACAAAGCCTGCTGAATATACACGACGACCTTTTTGCACGTGCTGAAAGTTCATCACGTTGTCATTGACGCATGACCATCTCGCAAGCTCTGTCCGGGTATGACCTACGGGGAGACTGCTGTTATGAAACTGCCCAAGGGAGAGAGCCAGCCTGTCCTTGGGAGACAGAGCACCAAAAAATACAACAAGCGAGACCATGTTCTGGTCATTTCACCTCCATTTTGTAACCAGCTTGTGCTAAACTGCCCAGGATCCTTCAGTCTTCGCAGAAGCTGTGAGTGAGAGCCGCCTTTGGAGGGCGATGTTTTCCGCTGAGGAGAGTGGAACACGCAGAGAGATCGCATCTCCAGCGCTGGGGCTCCGCGGAGTATGTCGTCGACAGGATCTGATGTACGGGGGCGATAATTCCTAGCACGTGGCCCCCCTTTACAGTCCCGCGGAAGCACTGTTCCTCACGACAGAGCAGCAGGCAGCAGCGACACAGAGCAACGAGCGCGTGAAGCTGGCAGCATGAGGGGAGGGTCCACTCGGCCATTGGCGCTGGTGGTGGCCTCGGTCGTTGGCTCCTTGGTAGCTGCGAGGCGTGTGGTGGAAAGTGAGCCTAGCAGCAGCGTCTCGCGCTCCCTGAAGGCCTTTCGGAAGAAGGCAGCCCCCGGCGTGTGAGTTATACGGTTGATCGTTGTCTTCATCGGTCCGATCTCTCCATCCAGTACCTCCATCTGTCCGTACTAGTCTAACACTTGCATTTAGGACTAGAAACGAAGAACCTGTTTTTTCTGGCGTGCGCACTAATAGTACAAATCGGGCATGGCTACATATCTCTCCGCGTTCCCATCGGTAGCGACGGGCTTCTACAGGTTGATGCCTTTGGCTGCCTGCACATGCCTAACGGGCATGATGCGATGATTCTGGGGGTCGTGCCGGTCGCGATCTTGATATTGACTGCTGACTTTAATAACAACGGACCGTGAAGGAGGGTACCCAACTTACATGCGAGACACGTTAGACATGCCAGGTGGAAAGTGTTTGCACAAACCCGAATGTTGTCCCGCACAGAGCGTGGTTGGGGCTTATCTCCACCGGCTTGTCCGCCTATACATGTATGCAAATGCATACCTCCACACAGCACCTGTCAAATCAAGACAAAAAAATATTGCTAAACGATGTTTACCAGTCTAGACTATTGAGACAGGCCCCACGGTGGGTGCTCAAGCAGGTGCTTTGCGTGGTTGAGGTCCCAGCAAAGAAATGTTGAAGGGCGTCATGGCCCGTTTGCACGCCCAGATTTGTTGCTGGAGCCGGGCGGTCCAATGTTTGAGTTTCGATCCGACAAGTCCGCAAGTCTGGATCGATACGTCAATACCATCCTCCGCGCCCTTTTGTAGGATAAGTTAGCATGTGACCAATTGAATCGACCCCGTCAAGTGGTAGATCAGTACGGACAGATGAAGGTTCTAGGCAGAGAGATCGGAACGGTTTGTTATGTAAAGACAACAACAACGTTCGAAGCACCACTGCTGTACTCGCCTTCACCACAGACCCAACGAACTGCGATTCGTCCAAGGCAGCTATTTAATGGTGTGACCTACCGCTGTAGACCAGCAGTTGGGGGATTGAGTGTGTGACAGAGCGTACAGCAGTGGATCGTGAATGGTATGGACCCATATTCGCGGGCTGTTTCGACCAGAAGCTGAAGCCTTCGACTACACGACTACACGGTCCCAGCAGCAGATCTGGGCGCGCCAATGACCATGTCGCTGCTCCATGATGATTGTCGCAGCCCCGTGTGAACTCACAGCCCGAGCTGTTTGTGCGTCTTTCTCATTTGGGTCTTTTGTTTTTTGCATTTTCTTGGGGTTGTGCCTGGACCACCACCGAAACACAGCAGTGCGGCCGCCTCGTCTCCCGAGGAGCACCTGGTCACCGCCCTGCCGGGGCTCAAGGACAAGGACTTCCCCACTAAGCAGTATGCCGGCCACATCCCGGTCGTGGACGGGTTCCACTTCTACTGGCTGTTCGAGAGCGCGAGCTCGGACCCTTCGTCCGACCCCCTCGTGATATGGCTGAACGGCGGGCCGGTGAGAGGTGGATGCGTTTTCGGTAGTCCCATCATTTCACGACGCTGTTTTGTAAGCATGTACGCCGTATTCGAACCGCTTTTATATCCAGCGTATCCCCTGCTTTGCCGTTTGCCCATAAGACATAGTCGCTTCCGGAGTAGCAAGCGAGCTACCCTGACATCGCAGTGCGTCTGTGGTTCAAGTTCCAATTCTAGGCATGGGGCTTCGCGTTGACTTTTCTCTTGTCCTTGCTGTTGCGTGTGACGATGTACTCGGGGTTGTTTCCCGGCGAGGCAGGGCTGTTCAAGCATGGACGGGTTGTGGCTTGAGAACGGTCCTTTTCGATTACATGACTCCGGGGAAGGCATCGACGTCAATCCCTATAGGTGAGTGGGTTTGCGCAGACAAGCAGGCGTTTTTTTTGGAAGTCCCCGTTAGCGGTACGTGTAGCTTGGCGGTCTACGACGTGGTACGGTAATTTGGCCTGCGGTAGGGACAGATGGTGTTTCAGAAAGCACACGACCGGTGCTCGACTAATAAACTTTGCTGTATGGCACCGTACTTGCTCAATATGCCTCCGCATAAGTACGTAGTTCTTGACCTGTGGGTCAAGGCTGAGACCCTAAGAAACTATCATGCGTAAGTACGACGGGTACAGAGGGGGTCGCACCCACAGCGCGTCGTGCTTGCCTGAAAAAGGTGTGGTATGCCAAGGAACCCCGGTCAATTTGTCACGTTGAGATAGATGCACCTGAGGAAAACAAGACAACGAGCAGTTGTTGTTTCTGACTGGAAGGTTGGAAATGTGCCCGTCCCGTTCCGTCCGTCTCACACAGCTGGCACAACGTGGCAAACGTTTTGTATGTGGACCAGCCGGTCGGCACTGGTCTCAGCTTCACCACCAACGGTAACTACGCCGACAACGATCTCCAGGTGCGGGAACCGCCTTTTCGAGGATTTGATTATTTATCTTTGAAATAGAGAGGGGGTTTCGCATCCCTAACGCTAACCCCCTACCCAACCACGTACCCCCTACAAAACAATGTTAGCATCCTCGCGAAGGATACTAGGTGCGGTGACCATCCTCGGCAGGCACAGAGGTGCATTTTCTTTGCAATCGCCTCGATATGCTTTCGCTTGGCGTCCTTGCTATCTTGCCCCCCTTTGCTACCCTGCCTACCTCCCCTCTAAGCGCCGATCTTGTTCTGGGGGGGGGGCGGCGCTGTTTTGAAGAATGCGGGTTCTCATCTCAGTAAAGGGGCGCCGTCGTCCATTCTTCACGGTTGTTTTCTTCGCGGAACGTGCAATTGTGCTCTTGCTTATTGATTAATGCCGTTGATACCACGTTTTGGGCCGAGTATTTATCTAGGCCGTTGCAAAGGATCGCCAGCGAAGCTGCTTTTCGGCTGGGTGCAAGGCGTTGAGACCAACCTCAAGGCCACGCGGGGAGAGTAGCCGCCGACACGGAGCCGCGAAAATGTCTGCGGTTGGACTGGTACCGCTTGGTCCCACGTCTTCGCGCGCGTGTCAACGATGAGATCGATCGCAGCGTACCTTGCTTTGCTGTGACCGGCGGTTTGCTTGTTCCAACCCGGCGTCTTTCCCTCAGGTGGACGAGCAATTCTACCTTTTTCTGTCGAACTTTCTGGAGCTCCATTCTCGGTTCAAGGCCGGGAGCGGCAAGTCCCGCCCGATATTCTTCACGGGCGAGTCTCACGCAGGGCACTACATCCCTTCCATGACGGCCTACATTCTGGCCAAAAACGAAGCCGCTGGAGAGGTACGGGAACCCCCGTCCCCCCCATTAGGTTGCCTCCCAACGATGTGATACTAGGAAATTACAGGGACACGCTCGTGGCATGTTCTGCTCTTTTCGCCCGTCTCCTATATGATGTGTTACCAAGTTTCGTTTTTTTCTTTTTGTCTTCACTCCAAATCAGCGCTCTCGGCACTAGTGCAGTTTTACTCCAACCCGTGGTCACACAGAAGAGCCCCTCTCTACCCTCCCCTCCTGCGGTACTTTGCCTTCGATTTTTAATGGGAGAAGAGTTCCGCACTCTCTTCCCTCTGTGTACACACGAACTAGCGCTATCCACTAGGCCAGGAGCGGAAGCGAGAGAAAAACTCACTTTGCAAGAAAAACTCGCTTACGCCGGGATTCGAACCCCTGACCTGACCTCTAGAAGGTTTCGAGGATACCAACTAGACCACCGGGGCGACCGACTGGTCATTTGAATCACAACGGAGACGGCCAATTCTTCATTGTTGATTTCTGATGGTGTCTTTGCTTTTGATGGCGCGCTTTTGCAGGGAGAGCTGGTTGTCGACGTCCAGGGAATGATGATCGGCAACGGGTGGTTCGATCCAGTTTCCCAGGTATGTGTTTGCAGCGGGGGCACTGCAACCGTATACCGTTGCCGCACTATTCTCTTTCGCAGGAGCCCCGCTGATGTGCTGCGGTGGCCCGTGACGTCTCTTTCGATGCCGCCTCGCCAAGCGCAACAACGTATGATGTTTCTGAAAGTCGGTTGTCACGTACGATTGTGGCATCGGGTCGGCGCGTTCGGTGTCGCCGTGTGCGCTGCTGTAGTAACCGTGCTTCCCTGTGTAAGGCCGCAGGGTACCAAGGGATGTGTGCATAGCCGACCTTGTACCGGGCACCCGGCGCTATTCAGAGTATGCGCGACTGCACTTAAACGTTTCATCCGTGCCACGCGATTTCACGGGGGCCCCGGCCTTGTTCGTGTACGGCAGGGACCACCAATAGTCCTGCTGTGTAACGATGTCTCGATCCTCCCGTGTTTTGGTGTCGAATCTACTCCTCTTTGGTTCCTCTTCTGCAGTACGACGTGAGCGACTTCGCGTTCGGGATGGGACTGATCGACTCCGGGCAGAGGCGGGGGCTGAAGAAGCAGGAGGAGAGCTGCCTATCATTGATCGAAGCCGGAAACTACAAGTGAGCGCCGGGCGCGCCGGCGACGCCGCACGGCAGAAAGAGAGAGAGAGAGAGAGAGAGAGAGAGAGAGAGAGAGAGAATAGCTGTACCGCATGCCGGTGGGAGGTCGTTGCCGTTAGTGCCATCGTTTCGAGAGAGACAGACAGACAAGACAGAAATAGAGAGAGAGAGAGAGAGAGAGAGAGAGAGAGAGAGAGAGCAACCGCTCCAGCTCCTGTTTCTTTGATCGCACTGTGCTGGATACCGCTAGCAGCCAGGTGTCTGCTGCAGATTAACGTCATTTGACCGTTGGGTGCGCTTGGAACGCTTCCATGTACACACCGTCGTCTTGTGTTTTTTTTTTTTGTCCTATGCATACCTCTGCTGTGACTGCTCTACGGATCTACACACAAAAGGAACGTAGTGTGTGAACGCCGCAGCTGAGCGTTTGCGACTGGCATGGCGACTCAGCGCCGGCCGGCTGCCAGCAGAAACATGCGACCGCCTATCGTCCACCTCTCCTCGCAGCAGCGATTCGTCACCCCTCCCCCTCCCGGTCGGTTTTCTGTCTCGTCCCTTGGCGCTCTCTCCATGCCCTCCGAACGCGAAAATCTGCCCACCGAAAACAACAGCGACCATGGTTGCTTGGGATTGATGGATTCGGTCATAGCCGCCAGCAACGCTAGGAAGGTCGGGGTGCCCAGGGTGTCCATGTACGACGTGCGCGACTACGAGCTCGGCAGACAGTTTCCCCCCGGACACGCGACCGTCGAGGTGAAGCAGAAAAATTGAGCAGGTTTCCCATTTGCGCTTTCCCGCCGTCCGTGGTCTGGTTCTGGTCTTGCTGCCCTCGGAAGAGGCCAACTGCTGCTGTTTTCTCGCCGCCGCCGCCGCCGCCGCCGCCGCCGGCCGTGTGTGTGTATCGTGTTCTCTTGACCAGGATAGAGAAAGTACGCCGGTAGCCATGGTCCGCTCCGCACGCCATAGAGGACGAACCCCGCCCCCCTAAAGTCTGCGATTCGGTCGACTACTAGGACTGCTGCCCAGCCCGTGATCATGCAAACCACCGTCCGCTTTCTTTTATCCGCGTTACGTTTGGCGCCGCGTTTTTTTTTGGGGGGGGGTGTCAGGCGTATCTCAATCGGAAGGACGTGAGGGCGGCGATCCACGCCTCCAGCTGCCCCATCAAGTTCCAGGAGTGCACAGACCAGCCCTTTGTTCACCTTTCAAAGTGAGGACAACAATGTACTCACCCACTCTCTGCAACACGGGACAGGGAACTGGACTACTTTTGGAATGGCTCACCGTGTCCGTTTCGTACCTTGGGTAACGTAAGGTACCACACCCCCTGGAGCATTTTTTAAAGCTCGAGTTCTCCACGACGGAAGAGGATGCATCAATCAAAGGAGGTGTTTTGTCGGAAAACTCTCCACGACACGGTTCCCGCACCACCATTTTTGGCATCGCCAATTTTTTGTGCTGTGGAGCAATCGAGCCTTGGAGAAGTGGCTCCAAGGGGGTGGGGTATCTTGTGTCATGTCACCCACGGTAGTTTTGTGGAGGATATTCCTCGCCGCATGCGGCCCTGCCCAGGCAGACGGGTGCAAGCAGTTGTTGTCCCGATATATCGCGGTCCCGAATAGCGCGTTTCCCGATGTATCGCGGAAACAATTCCTAGGCACAACAACCTAGCCAGCTACCAAATTGCCACAGGGACCTTCCCCCATGTGTTAGCGTACGATTGCCTACGTAGGAAGGTTAGGGAGGTCTAGTCTATAGAAGGCCCAAACTACACATATCATGATTTTATTCTGGTGCTCTCCTCGCGTTGCTGCTGTCGAGCGAAATGTTGCCGACCCTCTCGTCTCTCCGTCGCCTTGACTTCCCCGGCCGGCGCACAATACTCTGGGGCTGCAGGTGGGACGGGCTGGGGGTGACGAAAGAGTTGCGGTCGATCCTGAACGCGGGCGTCCGATCCCTCTTCTTCAACGGACAGTACGACCTCATTTGCAACCACGTGAGTGCGCCAACGAGCAAACGAGCCACCCTATAACGTCTTCCCACCTCCTCCCGTGTCCGGGGGATGGATCGCTCTAGCCTTCCACGGCGGAAAAAGACACGGGATACAGTAGTCGGGGGCCGTCCATAGTGCGGGTATAGTCTGCGCCAAGCGCTAATGCCGGCACAATAGCGAGCGGGAACCCGCAATATTCTATGGTATTAACCATCTTGATTATTCCGTCTGTGCCAGCGAATTGCACCGGCACTATACCGGGCACCCGCACTACACTGCCAGCGAATTTCATCCGCACTGTAGAGGGCACCCGACTGTTGCAGTACTTTTGTAAGGACAATGGCATTCCGGAGTTCCCGAGGAGATAACACAGATCAACGGTGCCCCCCCCCCCCCAAAATCTGTGACATTTGCTTTAGAACTGGGCATCTTTG